TTTTTTTTTTACAGTTTTCAAACAAAAGACTATTACCAGTTGGATGGACACTAAAGGAATCAAGACAGCTGAAGCAGAAAGGTATAGAAACATGCCTATACAGAGAAATGAATAACATGATACATGAATGTTTTATCTTGCTTCATGCTTTTTCTCCTCGCTTGATCCCACTTTTCTTTACATTTATTCATTCTTTCAGATTACAAATAATAGTGTTTTAGAGTCTAATGTATCAAGGACTGTCCTATATACTTGAAATACAAAGATGAAAGAGGAATAGTCTCTGTTTCTATGATAGAGTATAGTGGTGGTGGCATACTCAAAAACACACGATCATTACATAGTGTGATAAATAAGACTTGACTGTCTTATATAAACAGAACAGTGGTAGTTAGTATATAGGACAATCAGCTTCACCTTTGCAGGAAGGCCTGCCAGGAGGTGAGTCCAGTTTAACATTTAAAGGAAGAGCAGGTGTTTCCCAGGCATGAGTTGGGAAAAGGGCTTTACAGGCATGTGTACCAAGTGATGGAGTCATGAAAGAGCATGTTCTGTGTTTAGGTAATCACAAGTAGTCTAATTATTACTATGGTAGTGGTAGTGTGGTTGTGTGGTTGGATAAGTGATTTTTTTATAAGTTCTTTCTATTGTATCACAAGTTCTATTGCCTCATTAGTTCTTTCTATTCTGTTGTAGTTTGCACAGTAAAGAAAACAATAATACAAGACTGGAATCCATGATGAGTTCTGTACAAAAAGATAACTTTTATCAACATAATGTGGAAAAATTAGAAAATGTTTCTCAACTAAGTCTTGATAAATCACCTGTTGAAAAAAGTACACAATATTTGAACCAGCATCAGACTGCAACTATGTGTAAGTGGCAAAATGAAGGGAAACATACAGAGCGGCTTTTGGAAAGTGAACCTTCGACAGTAACTCTGATACCAGAGCAGTTCAGTAATGCTAACGATCAGTCACCCCGAAACGATGATCACAGTGACACAGATAGTGAGGAGAGTAGAGATAATCAGCAATTTTTGACACCTGTAAAGTTTGCAAATGCAAAGCAGACCACAGAAGATGAACAGGCCAGAGAAGCCAGAAGCCACCAGAAGTGCAGCAAGTCTTGCCATCCTGTAGAAGACTGTGCAGGTTGTCAGCCGGAAGAGATAGATGTGGTGCCAGAGAGTCCCTTGTCAGACATTGGCTCTGAAGATGCTGGTAGTGGACTGAAAAATGCCAACAAATTGAGTAGACAGGAGAGTAGCTTAGGAAATTCTCCTCCATTTGAGAAAGAAAGTGAACCCGAGTCACCAATGGATGTAGATAATTCCAAAAATAGTTGTCAGGACTCAGAGGCAGATGAAGAGACAAGTCCAGGTTTTGATGAGCAAGAAGATAGCAATTCCTCCCAAACAGCTGGTAAACCTTCAAGGTTCCAAGCAAGAGAAGCCGACACTGAATTGAGGAAACGGTCCTCTTCTAAAGGAGGTGAAATTCAATTACATTTTCAATTTGAAGGAGGAGAGACTCGCAGTGGAATGAATGATTTAAATGCCAAACCGTCTGGAAGTATTTCTAGCCTAAATGTAGAATGCAGGAATTCCAAGCAACATGGAAAAAAGGATACTAAAATCACAGATCATTTCATGAGACTGCCTAAAGTAGATGACAAAAGGTAATTTTTTTCCACAAGAGTGTCTCCAATAGTGTAATACATTTTATAATTTTGTAAGGGGGTTTAACAGAGTTATGGTTTAGATTGAAGCAAAGAAATAGTTGGTTTCTTTTTAACTTTACGATAAATGTGTAATTTTTAAAAAATGTTTATTTTGGAGAGATAGACAGAGTTGGGAACAGGGGAGAGGCAGAGAGAAAGGGAGACACAGAATCTGAAGCAGGCTCCAGGCTCTGAGCTGTCAGCACAGAGCCTAATGTGGGGCTCAAATTCAAAAACCATGAGATCATGACCTGAGGCAAAGTTGGGCGCTTAACCATCTGAGCCTCCCAGATACCCCATGTTAATGCTAAATTTAAACCTAGATTCAAAAAGATCAGGGACAGAAAACAAGAAGTAAATAAATATTGTTAATTGGACTTTTTTAGTTTCATGATCTTCCTTCTGAAATTTGTGGGGATAATCAGAATTTAAAAATATGAGGTTGATAGTAGCTTCTGTTTAGCCATTTTTCTAGGCCATTAATACTGCATTTTCTCCTCTAATGCTCTGATGTGCAGGCAGGTGATGTTGTACTTCATAAATGAGAAAACTGAGATTTGAATTAGAGAATTCACTGAAATTATAACTTGTGGGTAGTAATGCTGAGATTTAAAGCTGAGTCTGTCTGATTACAAAGCTTACATTTTTGCAGTTATTCCATTTGGAATCTTAATCTCCATAATTTGTGATATTTTCTATCACATGTGCCAAAATAAGCTCACTTTGTTGAAAATTGTTGTCTAGAGACCTGAGAAGTAGCTGACACTGTGAACCATGCCTCATTTGGCAGTGCTCATATTCTTACATGGTCCGGTTTTTTTTGGGAGGTGATTTTATGTGTTCAGAAATTTGTGGGGTGCCTGGGTGGCTCAGTCAATTAAGCAGCCGACTTTGACTCAGGGCATGATCTCATGGTTCATGAGTTTCAGCCCCGCGTTGGGCTCTGTGCTGACAGCTCAAAGCCTGGAGCCTGCTTCAGATTCTGTGTCTCCCTCTCTCTCTGCCCCTCCCCTGCTTGTGCTCTGTCTCTCTCTCTCAAAATAATAAACATTGAAAAAAAAATTTAAAAATAAATTGCTTCCATAGACTTGAAAATAAGCTTTTCAGTTTTACCACGTTTTATTAGTTTTTCTTTTGATTGTAAATACCAAGGAGAGATAGCAAGTCTGGGACGTTTTAAACAATAACATTCTGGGTAAGTTTTATACTTGTGTACCTAAGGAAATTTAAATAGGCAGATTTGTGACTGAATACGTTTGTTTTGACCTTAGAAAAGAACAATGTGAAATCAAGCATCAAAGGACAGAAAGGAAGATACCTAAATACATTCCACCTCACCTTTCTCCAGATAAGAAATGGCTTGGAACTCCTATTGAGGATATGAGAAGAATGCCTCGGTGTGGGAACCGGCTGCCTCTCTTAAGACCATCTGCTAATCATACAGTAACTATTCGGGTAGGTATTTTCTCTTACCTATAAGGAGAGGACTCTTTAGTCTTCATTTATTGCAGTACTTATTAATGTGAAAAACAGGCCCAAGGCACAGAAACTGTTTCTTTTTTCTGCACAAAGTACCAAGAAGTCTATAGATTGGAGAAATATAACAATAGCTTTCTTTTTTTTTTTAATTTTTTTTAACGTTTATTCATTTTTGAGACAGAGAGAGACAGAGCATGAATGGGGGAAGGTCAGAGAGAGAGGGAGACACAGAATCTGAAACAGGGTCCAGGCTCTGAGCTGTCAGCACAGACCCCGACGCGGGGCTCAAACTCACGGACCGCGAGATCATGACCTGAGCCGAAGTCAGACGCCCAACCCACTGAGCCACCCAGGCGCCCCAACAATAGCTTTCTTAATGCAGTACTTAATACATCCATAAGATGAATTGTTGTCAGGTCATAAGGCAATTGACTTTTTCAGTATTTTTTTTTTTTTAAAGTCACTGGATTCTTTTCTTTCTTTTTGTTTTAAATTCAATTGACAGTATTTGTTGAGCACCCACTATTTGTTAGGTAGTGGGTTAATCTGTAATGGGTTAGTCCCTAAAGTTCAAAATTGTGTATGGTTCAGTATCCTCAAATCATTTTCTAGTTTTGCCCTCTTCTGAGCTCTAGATTATTTTAGGCATCCCCATCACTATTCCAGAGGTGTCTCGAACTCAACATGTCTAAAACCAACCTCATTTTTAAGAATTGTCGTTAGCGGGGCGCCTGGGTGGCGCAGTCGGTTAAGCGTCCGACTTCAGCCAGGTCACGATCTCGCGGCCCGTGGGTTCGAGCCCCGCATCAGGCTCTGGGCTGATGGCTCAGAGCCTGGAGCCTGTTTCCGATTCTGTGTCTCCCTCTCTCTCTGCCCCTCCCCCGTTCATGCTCTGTCTCTCTCTGTCCCAAAAATAAATAAACGTTGAAAAAAAAAAAAATAGTTTTAAAAAAAAAAAAAAAGAATTGTCGTTAGGGGCGCCTGGGTGGCTCAGTCGGTTAAGCTCCCGACTTCGGCTCAGGTCGTCATCTCTCGGTTTGTGGGTTTGAGCCCCACGTCTGACTGTGCTGACAGCTCAGAGCCTGGAGCCTGTTTCAGATTCTGTGTCTCCCTCTTTCTCTGCCCCTCCCCCACTCACGTCCTGTCTCACTCTCAAAAGTAAAAAAAAAAAAAAAAAAAAAATTAAAATTGTGGTTAAATATACATAATATACAGTTTACCCTTTTAGCCATTTTTAGTGTCCATTTCATGGCATTAGGTACATTCACAGTGTTGTACAATTATTACCAGTATTCATTTCCAGAAATTTTTTATTATCCCACACAGAAACTGTACCTGCTAAACAATAACTTTCCATTTCTCACTAGTCCCTGGTATCCTCTTTTTACTTTCTGTAGCTTCTTTTTTGAAAAAACAACTTTATTGAGGTAGATACAATTTACCCATTTTAAGTGCTCACTCATTTCAGTGATACTTAGGTAATTTACTGAGTTAGGCAACCATCATTATAATCCAATTTTAGATTTCTGTCACTCATTGGGTCGTTTTAAATCATCTCACTTTTTAGTCTCTATATTAGATTTCACAGGAACTACCTAAAAAATCTCTGCTATTATACAACTTAGTCTAGATGTGATTAGATATTTTGAAGTATAGAATTCTTTTTCATGGTTATAGGTGGAAGTAACATTGAACAGGTTGTGGAGTTTGAACTGAGCTCTAAAAGATGACCAGACATTTCTGAGGGGGAGTTAGTAAGTCAAGAGAATTCCAAGACAGATACATAACCTTTATAAAAAAGGGCTATGTAGTGGGGATCCTGGGTGGCTCAGTTAGTTAAGGACCCAACTTCACTTCAGGTTATGATCTTGCAGTTTGTGAGTTCGAGCCTAGCATCAGGCTCTGTGCTGACAGCTCAGAGCCTGGAGCCTGCTTCATGTTCTGTGTCTCCCTCTCTATCTGCCCCTCCTCTCTTTCTCTCTCTCTCAAAAATAAAAATAAAAAAAAAACCAAACAGCTCTGTGTGGTTGAAAAACTATTTGTTTTAGACATTGAAAATAATTGGTTTGTTAGAGCTTAGAGTTTGGATGGGGAATGGTGGAAGATAAGACTTGAAAAGTGGATTGGGTCCATATCATAGAGGTGTTCAAGTGCCAGGAATTGGACTTGAGTCTGTAGGTATTGGAAATTGATAAAAGGTCTGTGCACACGTAGCAGGATTAATCACACAGCTGTGTGTAAGGAAAATGGAAGTGAGGATCCATTGGAAACAGATAAGGGATGTTAAGAGCTCTTAAAATCGGTAAACTTTATCTACCTCAATGAAGTTGTTTCTTCAAAAAAGAAGCTACAGAAAGTTAGCAGGTAAGAAACAAAAAGGAAGGGGACTGTAATTATCAAATTGTGCTGCGTTAAAGTGGCTCAGGGGTTCTTAGGAAATTTGACACAACATGTGTTTTCTAAATTATATTTTTAACTGAAAAACCTGTAATAAAAGAACAAACAAACACACTCAAACTTGAAAATGCTTAATATATTTTAACAAAAAACAACAATATTTTAACAAAAAAAATTACCATTTGAAACTATTTAGGTTAGTGAAAAGAATTTTCTTAATACTGTGAAAGAGATTTTCTTTCTTTCTTTCTTTTTAATTTTATTTTTTATTTTTTAAAATTTACATCCAAATTAGCATATAGTGCAACACTGATTTCAGGAGTAGATTCCTTAGTGCCTCTTACCCATTTAGCCCATCCCCCCTCCTACAACCCCTCCAGTAACCCTCAGTATGTTCTCCATATTTATGATTCTCTTATGTTTTGTACCCCTCCCTGTTTATATATTATTTTTGTTTCCCTTCCCTTATGTTCATCTGTTTTGTCTCTTAAAGTCCTCATATGAGTGAAGTCATATGATATGTGTCTTTCTCTGACTAATTTCACTTAGCATAATACCCTCCAGTTCCATCCACGTAGTTGCAAATGGCAAGATTTCATTCTTTTTGATTGCTAAGTAATAACTCCATTGTATATATATACCACATCTTCTTTATCCATTCATCTATCGATGGACATTTGGGCTCTTTCCATACTTTGGCTATTGTGGATAGTGCTGCTATAAACATGGGGGTGCATGTGTCCCTTCGAAATAGCACACCTGTATCCCGTGGATAAATGCCTAGTAGTGCAATTGCTGGGTCGTAGGGTAGTTCTATTTTTAGTTTTTTGAGGAACCTCCATACTGTTTTCCAGAGTGGCTGTACCAGCTTGCATTCCCAATACTGAGAGAGATTTAAGTGTAAATTGAGTAGTAGGTTGATACAAGCTTTAGCTGTGATCCCTAGCTTTCAATTTCGAGTTTTGTATTTCTTAGTCTCAATTTCATGTATTGATGCTAGCATAAGTAAAAGTTATTATAAAAGTTATAATAGTTTTATTTGATTTAAATATAATGAATTAATGTCAGATTTCTTAGGGGGAAAAAGAGTTCTGCTATTTAAGAAAGTTTGAAAATCATTGAGATAGGGTAATGTGGAAATAAAAAAGAAAATGGTTGCTTTGTTTTGAGGTAAAATTGATAGGATATGGTGAATTCTTAAATATGGGTGAAGAGGGAAAATGCAGGTAAAATTAAGAAAAGGCCGAGTGACTGACAAGATGTTACTGGCGGAAAATTTGGAGAAGAGATTGGGGAGGTAAGTGATATTTTGACTTTACTGCCTTTCTTTATACCACTGCCCATAAAGAAAACCCAAATTATCCTATACCGTCATTTTTTAATCTCTGTAATTACTGTTTATTTTTAGATATCCAATAACGTTTGAATGTTTAGAATCTTTAAAATCTTTATTTTTATTATAAAAGTAGTACAAGGTCATTGTAAAAAAAAGATGCACGTCTCATGTGATAGTTAGTATATAACTCAAAATCCAAGTCTCAGTCCTGTTTCAGAGTTTTGGTGGATTAACTTCTAGATTCTTTTTTCTGAATATGGTAATATGATATATATGTAATTAATAGTTATTAAATAAACAGCCCAAGTTTCATTTCCAAGATGCCAGATATTAATAGTTATGAAATTTAAAGTAGTAAAGTAAAGCTGATATTTACCATTAGAAATGTAAGGCAGGCTGGAAGCGCCTGGTTGGCTCAGGCGGCCAAGCATCCAACTCTTGATTTCAGTTCAGGTTATGATCTTGTGGTTTGTGAAATCGAGCCTCAGCTCTGAGATTGTTTGGGATTCTCTCTCTCCTTCTCTCTATGCCCCTTTCCCGCTCTAGCACATGTTTGAATGCGTGCTCTCTCTCTCAAAATAAATAAACATTAAAAAAAAGGGGGGGGCGCCTGGGTGGCTCAGTCGGTTGGGCGTCCGACTTCAGCTCAGGTCATGATCTTGTGATTTGAGAGTTCGAGCCCCACGTCAGGGGCTTTGCTGATAGCTCAAGAGCCTGAAGCCTGCTTCGGATTCTGTGTCTCCCTCTCCCTCTCCCCTGCTCATGCTCTGTGTCTCTCAGTCTCTCAATAATAAACGTTAAAAAAAAATTTAAAAAAAAAGGCAGTCTGAAATTGCAGGGGCATGTTTGGTGCTTGATTATCTTTAAAGACATGATAAACACACATGCGGGCACACAAACACATATACACACACATATGCACATACAGATGCCCACACACAAAGCATACTTTCATATATATGATATGTTCCCCTGTCTGTGGAGCTGGACTGGTACCTGTTTTGTCACCTCTGATTACATGGGATATCTTTACAAAGTCACCTTTGGGGACTTCATCTGGAGTTTAAAATACTTTTAGCATAATTATTGACTCTTGACAATTCTTTCCTCTGACTATTCTTGTTCTTTGGCTTCTATGATAACATATAATCCTAGTTTTCTTTCTGTCTCCTTAGCCATTTATTATATTCCTTTAGTTTTTCTGGCATATGTGTTAAATATTGTTAGAGCTCCTCAAGGCTTTTCCATAGGTCCTGTTTTCTTCTCTCTCTGGGTGGTCTTCTCCTACAACTTTATTTCTCTTGAGTGCTTATTGGATAGTCTTCCTTTCTATAAGCTGTTCCCTTTTTGAGGAACAGTCTTCCTTTCTTTTTCCTAGTTCTTTTTATTCTTTGAAGTTCAGCTCAATTGCCATTTCCTCAAGGAAGTCTTTTTTTTTTTTGATGAGTTTATTAGTATTTTTTTTTCAAGTTTATTTATTTTGAGAGAGACAGATACAGCATGAGTTGAGGGCACAGAAGAGAGGTAGAGAGAGAGAATGCCAAGCTGGCTTCGCACTGTCAGTGCAAAGGGCTTGACATAGGCCTTGAACTCACAAACTGTGAGGTCATGACTTGAGCCAACACCAAGAGTCAGATGCTTAACTGACTGAACCACCTAGGCACCCCAAGGAAACCTTCTCTAAGCTCACCGGTAAGTTGGAATTGTCTGAAATAGATTCTCATACACCACGAACCTTTCACTCATAACAGATTACAGTTCAAATTTTATATTACTGTGATGGTTTGATTATTTGCAGTGAAGTACTAATTCATGCTACAACATGGATGAACCTTGAACACATTACATCAAGCCAAAGAGGCCAGACACAAAAGGCCATATGTTGTATAATTCCATTTATATGAAGTGTCCAGAATAGGCAAAATGTATAATTTTTCATGTTTCAAATATCGCATTTCTCAAATGTTTACTTAATGCTTATTATAAGTAGCATATGTGTATGTGTACACATACATATATATTTACATATGTATATATTTCTATACGTATACTTACAGAAACACATAAGTCAGGTTCTATCATAAATATTCCGAATCCACAGTTAATATGGTTATTATTCTCAAGAAGTTTATAGTCTAGTGGGAGAAGGAAAAACAGGTGTGATCTGGTATAGTAATGATCTAATAAAACAAGAGGGAGTAAACGGTCCTTAAAAAGTTTTGAAAACTTCTTAAAGAAAATGAAAATTGAGCTGAGCGTTGAAGGTCATGATAGATGTTTAACCAGATAGTGTATGGGTAAGAGGGGATGTTAAAAACTGGGGACTTCATTTGGAATCATAGAGGGGAGCCATTGTAGGATTAGAAGCCTGGGAATACTTTAGAAAGATAATGTTCCCAAGTGGGAATGAGGGCTTAATGGGGGATGAATGTGTCTGGGAGTAGTTGGAGTTATGGGGGCCTAGAAGGTAAGCAATAATGAGGACCAGGGACCTAGAAGGGGTAGAGCTAGAATGACCAAACATGATGATTTGGAAGCTGATCAAATGAAGATAAGGAGTAGGAACAGCTGAAGAAGGCTTCTGAGATTTCTTGCCTGGGAGCTGGTCTGTATTTCATAGCATTTGCTTTGGCTGCTTTCTTTGGGTTGTTTTGTGCAATATACACCTAGTTTTTATGCACTTAGAGTTTTCTTGTTTCCCTCTCTTTCAGGTAGACCTTTTGCGAGCAGGAGAAGTTCCTAAACCTTTTCCAACACATTTTAAAGATTTGTGGGACAATAAGCATGTTAAGATGCCTTGTTCAGAACAAAACTTGTACCCTGTGGAAGATGAGGTAAGTACAGAACAGATGTTCTTTTAGTCTTTGAAAATCAGTTTAGTGTGTGCTTATTTGAGTGCTGATTCTGTGATCCAACAGATAATTTAATCTGTTTTTCCTTTTCCTTAAAGAATGGTGAGCGAACTGCAGGGAGCCGGTGGGAGCTCATTCAGACTGCACTTCTCAACAAATTCACACGGCCCCAAAACCTGAAGGTAGTTGTTTTTGCTCTTCTTGCTTCATGTTTGTCATTCTTTGAGATGGGCCCTGTATTTCCCTCCAAGACATTTTCTGATCTTCAATAGACTCAGGTAACAGCATTATTGGTATGCAAAATGCTTGTTTCCTGAGGAACTTTCTTAAGAGACATTCTTGGTTTCCATTCCATCACTAGGAAATGAGTAGAAGAATTGAGAGTTGTAAATGACTTGCCTGGAGCCACACAGAATAATTTGGAGAACCAGGAATAAGACCTTTGTTTCTTGATTCCCCATCCAATTTCCTTCCGACCAAGCTTCTCTTTTATTTTTTAGAATTATCATGTTTCTGAAATGTCTTTAAAAGTAAATCAGGGAAGAATTATGACTTCAGCTGTATTTGCCCAAGGGGAACTGAGTTTCCTAATGATTAAAGTATACATTAAACATTCTGTTTTGTATTGCTGTTAATATAGCTTCTAGCAGTCTGATTATTTATTAATCTTACATTTTGGCAATCATTCATTTTTTATTTTTTTTTTCAATATTTCACTTAAGACTATAAGGGCAACTATTAGATTATTTTTCTAATATCTAAAATATGAGTGAGTATGTTTTTTGGCACTATAGCCATGTAAACTTTTAAAGTTTTTATAACTATAAACCGTAACAGATTTTTCTATACTTGTGTGAAAATGGGTTTCATTTTCTTTGAGAGACTTAGTTTGTTGTGCACAGTTTCTCAGTGTTTTTTTTAAGTTTTTTTTTTTTTTTTTAATGGGTGTTTATTTTTGAGACAGAGACAGAGACAGAGACAGAGTGTGAGCAGGGGAGGGTCAAAGAGAGAGGGAGAGACAGAATCTGAAGCAGGCTCCAGGCTCTGAGCTGTCAGCACAGAGTCCAATGCGGGGCTCGAACTCACGAGCTGTGAGAACATGACCTGAGCTGAAGTCAGATGCTTAACTGAGCCACCCAGGCTCCCCAAGATTCTTAAGTTTTACACTGTTTTTCCATTTATACTTAACAAGTTGTTCTTAAACGTTCCATATGTCTCTATAGCTCCTATTTTTTCTCTATATTGAAAAACATTGGTATGTTGTACCATAATGTATTTTGAAAATTTCATTCGTTATGGATAGTGTTTCTCAATCTTGTAATGTACTTCTTTTAAACGGAAGAAATTATCAGGGAGTGCCAGGATCTGTTGATTTATTTTTAGAATAATGTTAACTGCATATGTACAAACATGAAACTAAATATAAACTATACTTACAGTTAGAGCTATATTAGTTGATTTTTTTCCATTTTAAGCATCATGAACCATCACTTGAGTTATGTTCGTTGTCATAATGAAAACAGTTTGTATTCAGTATTCCCTTTTTGCACAAAAGTTTTTAACCTCTGATGTCAACCTCAAAATAGTATGCTGAGAGACTTTTAAAAATACCATATAAAGAGGGGCGCCTGGGTGGCTCAGTCAGTTAAGTGTCTGACTTTGGCTCAGGTCACGATCTCACAGTTTGTGAATTCAAACCTTGCGTCGGGTTCTGTGCTGACAGCTCGGAGCCTGGAGCCTGCTCTGGATTCTGTGTCTCCTCTCTCTGCCCCTCCCCAACTTGTGCTCTGTCTTTGTCTCTCAAAAATAAATAAATGTAAAAAAAAAATTAAAAGTACTGTGAAAGAAAAAATTCTTCATTTTGTTTTTACTACTTACTAATCACAAACAATTGGTGGATGTTGGTAGATACAAAGATGGGATCTGTATGGAGAACATCAGCTTGCAAATAAATATGATAGTGAGCATTGTAGTCCAGGTTCTTTCTAATTTGACAGTCCTGAACTACGGTTTATCTCAGGATGGCTCAAAATTTTCACCATTTTTATCTGTTTAAAGCACCAGCCATCGTTTCTACCGTGTCTTTTGTCCTTTGTCCTTTTGTCCTTAAAACCACAATTATAAACTCACAAAAACAGAAGCAGACCACCTCAGAGTACTATCTATACTCCATTTGAGAATCACTGTGTTAGCTCCTTACGGCCTTAGAAACAGCATTATTTAAAATTTCATATTTTTTCTTTTAAGCATGAACGCAGAATAATCATAGTGTTCTAAATTACCTTGTCTGCTCACCTCTTTAGCAATTCCTTAGTGTGCCAATGATTACTTTAGGAAGGGGTAACTGCTTTACTCTGAATTTCCTTTTCTTGTTTAGTTTATGGTAGATTCACCAGAACAGAGTAATCCATTGAGATTTTCTTCTATCTGCTTATGGTAATTGTTTTCTTTGCTGAAAGAACACTATGGAGGGAGGAACATTAAGTCTCTCTTACTGAGTATAATAATCTTTTTGCCACTTTTATTTGATATTGAGTTAAGTGAGGTTAGAAATGTTAACAATTTTTAAAAGAATTGTCTCCTTAAAAATTAGTTTACACAGTAATATTTCTATAAATGATGTGTCTGATGATTTACAAAGAATGGACCTGTCCGTGCTTTAATTATGCTTATTATGAATTATAAATTAAAAGAAACCTCAATAGGTGATAGCTGAGAATACAGAATAGCATCCAGTTTTTAATAGGAGACCTTGTGGTAGACTACTTTTGAGACTTGAAGACTAAAGTAAAAGTAAATATTAGTCAAGAGTTATTGCTAATTATAAATCCCATAAAAGAATTAGAGTATGAATTTTAGAGTGTAAAATGTTTTTTCTTACTAACTTTGAAGAATCATTTACATAAAAGAAAATGCATGCTTTTAAAGTATGTAATTTGATGACATTTGACATCCGCACATACTCGTCAAGCCCCCACCCTAATCAAGATACAGAACATTTCTGTCACCTCCGAAGATTCCTCTAATCCCTTTACAGTTGATTCCTCTTTCTGAACTGTCCTCAGGCAGTATTGATCTGCCTTTTTCTTTTTTCTTTTTTCTTTTTTTACTGGAGATTAGTTTATATTTTACATAATGGAATCACATAGTACATATGCAAGTATTTCTGGCTTCTTTCACTCAGAATGAAAACTTTCAAGATTCATCCATGTTGTTGAGTATGTCAACAGTTTGTTGCAGTACATGTGTTGTTTGTCCTTTTAATCTCTATTCATAATAGACTTTGCTATTTAATACCTTGTATGAGGTTCTGAAGTCAGATACCAGTGATTAGAAAAAATCCTTAAAATTTTCTTTCTTTTCTAAAAATTTTTTTTTTTTTCAATGTTTATTTATTTTGGGGACAGAGAGAGACAGAGCGTGAATGGGGGAGGGGCAGAGAGAGAGGGAGACACAGAATCGGAAACAGGCTCCAGGCTCTGAGCCATCAGCCCAGAGCCCGACGCGGGGCTCGAACTCACGGAGCGCGAGATCGTGACCTGGCTGAAGTCGGACGCTTAACCGACTGCGCCACCCAGGCGCCCCAAAATTTTCTTTCTTAATGGAAAATTTTATATCGTGGCTGTGAGAAAAATAAAAGCTTTTTCTTACCATACTATTTTATGATTGACGCTTTTCCTTTTTGAAGGAACTTGGATATCCCCTGAATCCAAGTAATAATATGCATTGTTGACTCACTTTTTAATCTGGATGCTTGGTGATTGTTTATATGGCATGAAATATTTTTCAGGAAACTCTTTGGCAGAGTATTCATTTTTAAAAACAGTTACTTATGGGGGCGCCTGGGTGGCTCAGCTGGTTGAGCGTCCAGCTTTGGCTCAGGTCATGATCTTGCGGTTTGTGAGTTTGAGCCCCGCGTCGGGCTCTGTGCTGACAGCTCAGAGCCTGGAACCTGGAGAGTCTGTGTCTCCTCTCTCTGCCCTTCCCATGCTCATGCTCTGTCTCTCAATAATAAATAAATGTTAAGAAAAAAAAACTTTAAGAAAAACAGTAACTTCTGAGGAAATTTAGAAGATTTATAATAATGTAACTATTTTTCAAACTTACATACACCTTCAGTAAAACAAAATTGGGGGTGTGTACTATAAATACAAATAGTTGTTTATAAATTCTACATGTTTATTATTTTGTTAATATAATATGTACATTATAAAATATAACCAAAGTAGAAATTTAAAAGGATGAGATAAAATATAATTGTAAATACAGTTGACCCTCAAACAACACAGGTTTGAACTGTACCAGTCTCCCGTGTAGATTGTTTTGATAATACAGTACTGTAAATGTATTTTCTTTTCCTTATAATTTTCTTTTTTTTTTTTTTTTTTTTTTTTTTCAACGTTTATTTATTTTTGGGACAGAGAGAGACAGAGCATGAACGGGGGAGGGGCAGAGAGAGAGGGAGACACAGAATCGGAAACAGGCTCCAGGCTCTGAGCCATCAGCCCAGAGCCCGACGCGGGGCTCGAACTCACGGACCGCGAGATCGTGACCTGGCTGAAGTCGGACGCTTAACCGACTGCGCCACCCAGGCGCCCCTCCTTATAATTTTCTTAATAATGTTTTTTTCTCTAGCTTACTTGATTGTCAGAATATAGTATATAATACATATAACATGCAAAACATGTTAACTATGTTATCACTAAGGCTCAGATCAACAACAGGCTATTAGTGTAGGTAAATTTTGGAGGGAGTCAGAAGTTACATGCAGATTTTCAATCCTTGTGCTGTTCCTGCATCCACTATAATAGTTCTTTCTGCATGACTACTGGATTGTCTTATGCATACCCCACTCTGGTGTTAAATAAAATTCATCGGAGTAAATTTTAAAGATCTTACTGGCTTTTATTCAATGATTTATGAATTAAGCAGTATCTTATATAGCAGATGGAAAGACACTCTAAGAAGCTGTAGGAAATGAAAGACTTTTATAGGCAGAAGTGAGTGGGAGCAAGGAAGTTATATTAGGAAAAAATAGAGTAGTTGTGGTGGTCACCTTCCTGTAGGGGATGGCAGAGTTCTGTCAGGCTGATTAACTAGTTCTGACCATCTGATTTCTCATTGACTGGTTTAAGAGTCCATTTGTGGGAGAGGCTGAAACTAATTAAGTTTTGTCTCTGGTTGGTGGCATAAGCGACTCCTTTTGGGACCTGTTTTGTTTTTATTGCTGGTAACAAGAAAAAAGTACTGCCTATTCAGTTAAATGTTACACCAGTAGATGGCGTGCTATTTTGACTTTTCACTACATAAATAAGTAATTTATATGAACTGCTGGGGGAAGATAACCATTTATATGTAGCTTATAAAAAATAGCTGATATGGGGCGCCTGGGTGGCGCAGTCGGTTAAGCGTCCGACTTCAGCCAGGTCACGATCTCGCGCTCCGTGAGTTCGAGCCCCGCGTCGGGCTCTGGGCTGATGGCTCGGAGCCTGGAGCCTGTTTCCGATTCTGTGTCTCCCTCTCTCTCTGCCCCTCCCCCGTTCATGCTCTGTCTCTCTCTGTCCCAAAAATAAATACACGTTGGAAAAAAAAAAAAATAGCTGATAATAAAGGCAAAAAACCAATTTTATGCCTTAGGGCAGTGTTTCTCAATCTTTATTTCATTATTGCCGTCTCTCCAAGAAAGTACTCTTCCCATGAAATTTTAATACTACAAGTACATTATATATTGGCATGTATAGTGTAACCCTATTGATAGCCAACAATCATTATAATATTTAAATTTTTTTATCTCCAAGATCCAATTTTTGTCCACTGAGAGTGTATCATTTCTGTTTATAATGTAAACGTTAAGAGTTTCGATTTTTTTTTTCCTATTACTTGACGTTTCTAATCGCATTTTTTTTTAAAGAACCTTTGCTGTCATTTCTTTTAAATTTTTTTTTTTTTACATTTATTTATTTTTGAGAGACAGAGACAGAGCACAAATTGTGGAGAGGCAAAGAGAATGAGACACAGAATCCGAAGAAGGCTCCAGGCTCTGAGCTGTCAGCACAGAGCCTGACGTGGGGCTCGAACTCACAAACCCTGAGATCATGACCCGAGCCGAAGTTGGACGCTCAACCGACTGAGCCACCCAGGCGCCCCTCTAATCTCATTTTTCTTAAGTGAATAATAAATTAGTGTGTATTCTGTTTGTTCATAGCTACTGATGTGGAGTAGCTAATGGTAAGAGGAAGGTTAATGCTGGTTAAGAAATTTACTGGAAGTAGTTCATAAAGGAGAAAGGTTATTCATAAATAAATTACTTGACTGTGTCATGAGGTTTTGTTTATGCTTTTTCCGTAGGATGCTATTTTGAAATATAATGTGGCATATTCTAAGAAATGGGACTTCACAGCTTTGGTTGATTTCTGGGATAAGGTAAAAGTATGCTTATTTCTTTAACTATGAAAATGATGTAAGTCTAAAAATTTTGAGAAAAATACCCATAAATCTTTCGCACTAACATAATTACTATCCTTTATTTTTGTGAAAAATATTTCCTGTTATATGTATATTTTAGCTGCTAATTTTGAATTTTTCTTTTTTCTCTCATGAAGAGAATACTGTTATATTGTTATACAATCATCATTATTAATGGCTACTTGATACGTCATGATTAGAAACATCAAGGTTGCATTCAGTTTTACTCTGTTCTCAATTACAGTGTAGTAACATCTTTATGTGTGTGTGTGTGTGTGTACACACACATATACACAGACACACATACGTGTATATATATATATATGTTTTCCCAGATTTGATATTGTTTGTTTAGGTGATTCCCAGTAAGTAGATGGCTAGGTCAAAGGACACAAAAAAACTTTCTATGGCTCTGGGTTTATGTTGTAAAATTATTTTCCACAGGAAATTGTAGTAATTTTGTATACCATCTTCAATGGGTAAGAATATCACTTTCATAGTAGTGTTGGAAGAATAGGTGTCATCCACTGCTATTTGAAAAAATAAGAGTATACCTTTTTTTCTTAACATTTTATTTTGAAATAATGATAGATTCATGTGAAATTGCAAAGAAATGTGCAGGGAGGTCCTGTGCACACTTTATCCCACCTTCCCTGATGTCAATTGCTTAAATAAATACAATATATTACCAAACCCAGGAAGTTGACATAAAGGATTATTTAGATTTTATCAGTTATACCTGTACTCACTTGTGAGTGTAGTTATATAACCGTAGCTTTGTGTAACCACACCACAGTCAAGGTACAGAGCTATTCCATCACCACAGTGCTCACTGGTGCTGCCTGTTATTGCCACACAAATTCCCACCTAACTTCCAGCAACCACTGTCTGTTCTCCATCTTTATAATTTTGTTATTTCAGAAAGGTTACAGTGTGTAACCTTTTCAAATTGCCTTTTCTCACTCAATATAATTCCTTTGAATCCACCAATAGTTTGTTCCTTTTTATTGCTAAATAACATTCCATGATATGGATGTATCACACTTTAACTATAGATGATTTCAGGACATTTGGGTTGTTTCCAGTTTTTTGCTGTTTCAACTAAAACTACTTAGAACTTTCACGTGCAGGTTTTTGTAAGAATATAGTGCACGAACATTTCTCTGGGATAAATGCCCAAGAGTGTGATTTTGAATTGTTTGATAAATGTATTTTTAGTTTTAGAAGAAACTGCTAATTACTTTTGCTAGGTAAGTAAGCCCCCCAAAGAAAGATAACTTGTATATAGAGTCCATTTTCTTATGTTTGTACAATTTGATTCTTTTGCTCACATTATTTTTAGTTATCCATATTACTTATGCTCCATTTACTAATAATTAGTACTGATTTTGGAGCGGGAACATTTTGAATGAAATATTTTCAATTTTACACAATTCTCTCTTACCTAATAGAGAATAAATATTGAACTTTGAACTTGTCCTATGTATTTTATATTGAGACCTTTCCCTCTTTGGCCTTTTTTTCAGATAAATGACTCTGAGGCAAATAACATAATTATCGTTATTCCTATCATAAACGAGTGGTTGCGATTTAGAGATGGGCTTTCTTGGCCAAAGTGACATAGTTTGTTCATGACAGGATACTGTAACTAGAGCAGTGTTCTTTCCACTATTGTCTGCAATCAGAATATGATATCCCTCGGCACACATCCTTCCCTCCTACTTGCTGCCTCATTTTCTCTGTAATAAAAGACTGATATGCCACTTACCTCTGTTGAAATTCTGTCTCCCCAGACTCACATTTTCCTTTCTGATCCCTCCAAAATGAGATGTCACCTTTCTTTGAATTTCCATGTGGATTTTTAAATTTATCTTGTGGCACTCTCTCTTTGCCTTGCTTTATTCTTGATGAGATGTTGACATCCTCTACGACATTAAAAGTTTTGTGGAACAGAGACTGTGTCATTTCTTAGTTTTGTGTTTCCTGTAGCACATACATAATGCCTTACATATAGTGAGTGCTCCTTAAGTATTATAGACTGGATTTCAACAGATCAAGTAGTCATACTGGTTTTCAGAGATACCAAAGTCAGGACACTATTAAAAAGTAATGGTTCAAGTTAATAAAAATTGTTGTTTTTCTGATTCCTGCTCCTATATCCTGTAATGCACACAACATACCTAAATATAACAGACTCTTTTCTGAGCATTTTTAGCTAGTGATGTTCCAATGTTCTTATCAGTTCATTTCTTGTGATGTTATTATATGGAAGATCTGTCTGTCCTTTTGGACTGTTGCTGGTAATTTAAAAGAACGTGGTTGATTACATTGTCAGTAATTACACATTAAGACTATTGTCAATCTGTGTAGTCACTACTTCCTGTTAATTTGGAAGAGCCTAAAAATATAATGCAATTGACAGTGGTATAAATAATATCACCATCCTTTTTTTTCCAGAAATATTTTTATTATCTCATAAAGAATGAGACAGCATGATATACAGCAGTGGCTCTCAGATTTATTATGTATCTGAATCCTGGAGGGCTTGTTAGAATGCAGATTGTAGCCCACCATCCTCTCTGAGAATCTGATTAACTAGGTCTGGAGTAGGACCTGAGACATTTTGCATTTCTAACAGGTTCATAGGTGATATTGTTGCTGCTGGTTTGGGAACCTTACTTTGAGAACCACTGGTGCAGAAAAGATCATAGAATTGGAAATGAGAATCATAGGGGGGCACCTAGGTGGCTCAGTCAGTTGAGGTTCTGACCTTGGCTTGGCTTGGGTCATGATCTCCCAGTTCGTGAGTTCAAGCCCCACATTGGGCACATCTGCTCAGCCTGCTTCAGATCTCCTGTCCTTCTCTCTCTGTCCCTCCCCCACTTGTGCTTTCTCAAAAATAAATATTTTAAAAAATGGCTCTTAAAAAAAAAAAGAGAGAATCATGGGTTCTTAGTCTCAACTCTGTATAAACTTGGGCAGGCCACGTGACTTCAGCCTGTGTCCTTATTTGTTAACAAAATAACCACTTACTCTACCTTAATGTCATGTTTTAAGGATCTAGCTGACTAATGTATCTGAAATCACTTCAAATTCTGGAGCAATAATCAAATATGTTATTACTTTTTTACCTGTGAAAAGTTTGTTTTACTGCTTTTAAAAAAAGGTTTTTTTTTTTTTTTTATCATTAACACTATCTGAATTGTAGAAATAAACAAAACAATAAAAATTGTCCATGATTTTGCTTCCCAGAAACAATCACTCTTAACATTTAAAAAAAAAAATGTAATTTTATCCACCTGTGCATATTAAATGTGGATTTTTTTTTTAAGTTTGTTTATTTGAATAGAGAAAAAGCATGAGTGGGGAAGGGGTAGAGAGGGAGAGAGAGAGAAAATCTCAAGTAGATGCGGGGCACAGACTCAAAAACCAAACCTGTGAGGTCATGACCTGAGCTGAAGTTGGATGCTTAACTGAGCCACCCAGGCGCCCCTAAATATGGATTTTTAAAAATATTATTTTACAGTGTACATCCTGGTGCCTGAATCTTTTGTATCAGTGATTATTTCCTCAGGATATAGAAATATAATCATTGGATCAAAAGGTATGTTGGTTTTTTAGGCCTTCAATACATACTAACGATTCACCTTTCTAGAAGGTTGTGTTGGTTTTCAGTTCTCCTCTCAATGTGTGAGTCCTGTAGTGCAGTGCCCCCCTCTATATATTTAGACTTCCAAAGTGTGATAACACATAAAGCACCCTGTATAGTATCTTCTGCAGAGTCTTACTATGTTTGCTAAATTTGTTGCCTAGGAAAGTGTTGCTATAAGATAATTCAAGCCTCTTAGAAGAGTAATTCTTGGTTAGGATAAAGTAATTTTCTAGCAACTATAGTGGTATTATGGGAATGAGAACTCTGTAGTTGAAATGACATTACTTCTCAGACTCTAAGCAGGTAATTTTACGAATAAAACATGAGGTTTATAATACATATTATAAATTTGAAATTACTTGCTTTTAAAGTTTGAGATCATTTTTTTCCTGAGTATATCCTCTAAATATTACATTTTTTCATAGACCGGAAGAAATGTGTTCAGCTACTTTTGAGGAAAGGAGGAAAAAAGGAAACAGTATTTATTGAAGACATATTACTAAAAGGAATATATTATTGAATTTAATCCTCAAACATTTTTGTAAAATATAGATAGTACATTCAATTTAGAGAGGAAAGTAGATTTAGAGAGCTTAAGTAATTTGGTCAACATTATACAAATATTGAATGAATTCACCAATGAAGTATTGAGGAATCTAGATTAAAAAAAAATTTTTTTTAACGTTTATTCACTTTTTGAGAGACAGAGACAGAGTGTGAGTGGGGCAGGGGTAGAGAGAGAGAGGGAGACACAGAATCCAAAGCAGGCTCCAGGCTCTGAGCTTGTCAGCACAGAGCCTGATGCGGGGCTCAAACTCATGAACTGTCAGATCGTGACCTGAGCTGAAGTCGGACGCTTAACCGAGCCACCCAGGTGCCCCTAGATTTTTTTTTTAATTTTTAAAAACTTATTGAGACAGAGAGACAGTTTGAGTGGGGGAAGGGCAGAGATTGAGGGAGATACTGAATCTGAAGCAGGGTTCTAGGCTCTGAGCTGACAGCACAGAGCTCAACACGGGGCTCGAACTCACAAACCATGAAATCATGACCTGAGCTGAAGTTGATCGCTTAACCGACTGAGCCACCCCGGTGCCCCTTGGGGAATCTAGATTTGAGCTCAGTTCAGTTCCAGCCAAAATAGCTGACCAGTAACCATTCATTGAATATATGAAGGACTCTTAGACTTTAAGGCCTGTGTTTTTTGTATTGTGATGGTGTTTGTCCCTTAAAGAACACTGAACACTCTTATATAGAAGGCATTGTATTATTAAAGATGGGGAATTGATTGACAGTCTTAATCATCAGA